TAATAGTGGACTAGCATTCATTCGATTAGGAGATGGAGAAATGAAACTTTTATTTGGACTTTCGATTAAGACTCTTGACTAATGGTCAATGCCTCGTGGTGAATCAAAATTAGAAAAAGATTTAAGAAAAGCATTGCATTATCCGAAATATCAATATAATACATTTAGTCCATTTTATTATGGAATTTATGATGCTAAAGGTATTTGTCCTTTTCATGAACTTGTCTCAATGATTTATCGGCATCCAAAATATTTAACATATACAAATTTATTTGTCAATTCTAATCATCCTTCTACAAAATTATTACATCAATCACTTATTCGAGATCATCGAAAAAGATTATTCTAATAATTAACAATGAAACTAACTCGCAAAAGTTAACTGAACTAAATGCATGGACTTGTGAAATATTGTTATATCCAAATAATGGACCTTTGTTGTGGGAAAATGATAAGTTTAGAGAGCAAGCAATTGGGAAAATTGTTGACGCAGCAAAGCGATACAGAAATCGATTATTTTTATTTTCAATAGGTTCACTATCGAGAGTTCTCATTCATCATGCCTGGCTCGAAAATCCTTATAATCGTTACGTTGATTTTGGTTCTACACTCGATGAAATGACAAAAAGTAGAATAACTCGACCATACCAATTGAATGCAGAACTCAACCATGATCCGTCGTATGTTATCAAATTTGATACGAACAAACGTGTATTCCACGTATCATCCGTAGACTAACTATGCATTCTATTCCGTTATTATTTTTCGTTTCATCAAATGTTTTGTCAGGGACATACCGCCTATGGGCTGTGTGGAAGGTTGCGCACCCTCCCCACTTTTAGAAAATTTTCAGTTTTTCTCAGCTAAAGTTGAATGTTTTATTGCAAAAAAGACCATAAAATGAAAAACCATCTTGAGGGTGTGGGTGTATTATTTTGAGATAAATATAATAATAACACATATCTTCAATTCGCTATATCATGTATCACTTACTACTTCTTAAACGATGATATTTAGTTCTTTTGATTTTGACTTCAAATAATCAGCAGTCTAATTTAGGCATGAAATTATGTACAACTAATATATAATAGTTTCAGTCATTAGCTATCTTCTTTCTGATATTTTTCTTCTCAAAAAAGAAAGCATTCATTTTAAATAAATATTCGATGCGTACTGGTGTTATCTGAACTGACAAGTAACGTTCATCGAAAATCGATTCACTCTGCACTAGACTATCGCGATCTGCATACAAATATGACTGTGTGTTAGATGTGAATGAGAGTTAATCAATATTAGTTTTGACTTCATATAAAATCAAGCATTTTCTGACAGTTTGATATTTGACGAATGAATAATAGAGTTTAACAATGCTTTTGCTTTATTAAAGTCAATTTTATAAATAGTAGAATTTGACAAAAAATTACAGTGTAGATCTCTTTATCATTATACATCAAAATTGATTTTGAACTCTTTTTTCTATATGTACTGTAACAAGACAATGAAGCATAACAAGTTTATCTAAAATATTTTATAATAAAACAACCAGTAAAATTTCAAAGTTACAATGCATACTCTTTGGAGCTTCTAATTCTGGGCTTTACTTTTCTGATTTGCGGTACAAGATGTTTAGTGACATCGTCGTTTTTTTATGCATATGTTAAAAATATTTGATGATGATCATGAACGACATGCTCTACAAAAATAAATCAAGATTTTTTTCAAAAGCATTCTAATACTCTGTGTAATTAGGAAATATTTCAACTGTTTAAGCTCGTGTCCCTTTTAAAAAATAAATTAAATATTTTATACTAAATATTATGCGATTGAAGTAAAACGATAATAGCAAATAAAAATTATATTATCGACAATACGCCTTAGTTACGTGTTCATTGGTGTCATGTTACCGACAAAACTAATACTTGTAAATAGATCAATTCCCGTTTCTAGACCTTATCCTTACAGTCTAGGAGATAAATTCATGTGTCTCTGTTCTTTATTTTATAACGTCTAATCATGATAAACAATTAAAAACTGATTTTGACAAGTATAAAACACATTTATCCCGTATCACATGTGTTTTGCTTTTTTCAACTTTCAATTCTCCTGCTCTTTAAATTATTTAATATATATATATTAATGTATTTTTATAGTTCGAAAAAGTCAAATTTGTCCATATATTACAAATCTTCATGACTAACAATAACAAATTCATCTGATGAATGGTGTGCATTTCTTTTGTTTCATAAATTTAAATACCGATATCAATTTCAAATGTATCTCTTAATTAAACAATCTTATCAGACATATAAAATAAAATCCTTACATCTGTTAGACTAACAACTTATTAATTGAGATTGGTAAGTTGTATCAATTATAGTTAGAGTAAGCTAATGAGACATAAAATACAATACTAAATTAAAAATCTCTTAAAACTTTTGATTTAATAGTCTTGTTGAGAAATCAATCTAGAAATAATAGAGATGAAAACTGAATTGATGAGCAAGAGAAAAAAAAGAAACATGTACTAGAAAAGCTCTTTAATACATTTTCACGACCATTAGAGATGACAAATCAACGTTTGAGCTATAGAATAAAAGAAATCTTTCTGAATTTATCTATTCAATTACGAAGTATAGGTAGATTCAAGGCATATGTACAAACATTAGACGTATGAAAGAAACCTTTGAGCTATAAAATAAAAAAAATCTTATTCAATTGATCTATTTAATTACACACTATAGATACATTCAATAGTATTTTTACGATTATTTGACATGAGAAATAAACCCTTGAGCA